GAAGGAGAAAACAATAACCCTTTGGGAAAAAAACAAAGGACTTCTGTGAAGGAACCAGATCCTTCCCCAGTGAAGCCTCTGTTTCCAGATGCTCAGGATCATGAGATTATCTCCTAGAGCTTCTTGGAAGAGGAAGCCAAGATCTATAGTCCCCTGTCAACCTCAAAGCATCCTCCCCTCCCCAAGAGACCCTTAGTTACCAGGATGCACTGAAACATCCAAACATCCAACTAGTGTGGGAAATGGGAAGAGCAAAATCGACAGACGGGCATTCCCAGACTCTGCAAGGGAGGATCTGGGCTCCCAACTTCAGGAATAATTTTTTTTTTTTTGGCTTTTTTGAGACAAGGTTTCACTGGGAACCCTGGCTGGCCTGGAACTCTCTTTGTAGACCAGACTGGTCTTGAATTTCACAGAGATCCACCTGGCCTCTGGCTCCCAAATGCTGGGACTAATGTGTGAGCCACCACTGCCCAGCCAGGAATGATTTTAATAGGCTGTCCTTTACGGGCATGTAAATGTGTATGGAGATTCCTCAAAAACAAAACGAAAATATAACTACCATATAATGCAGCTATATCACCCCAGGGAGTATCCCAGAAGATTCTGTCACCCAGGCATAGTGATATTTACACATACCTGATTATTGCTACACCGTTCACAATAGCCAAGAAGAATGTGATATAAGGTTCAGCTGCAAAGCACTCGCCATGCAATTCTGACTACTGAGTTCAATCCACTGAACCCCTGTAAAGGTTAGGGAGAGAATCAACTCCCCAAAATCATCTTCTGGCCTCTATATGTACGCTGTGGCAGGCATATGCCTATAGCCCCCAACCAATAATATAATAAATAAAAAAAGAAAATGGCATGACATGGTGGCTCCTAAGTGATGCCATATCTCTAAAACCATAACAAAACAAACAATAGAATAGAAGACAAGGGCAATGTGGCTTCTATACAGTGGAGTTTTATTTGGCCATGAATAAAAATGAACTCTGAAACACTGAAGTCATTTGTAGAAAGTGGAAAGAATTGGAGATAATCATGCCAAGCAAAATAAACCAGGCTCAAAAAAGACATACATTGCACGTTTTCTCTCATATGTAGTATCTAGATTTAAATACACACATGCAGAGAGAGAAACGGAGAGAAGAAAGGAACAGATAACAGAGCAGGGGGGAGTGAAATAAGGAGGGAAACTGTCTTAGGTCTATTGCTGTGAGAAAACACCATGGCCAAAGCATCTTATAAAAGGAGGCATTTAATTTGGTTTACGATTTCAGAGGGCTGGAGACCATGATATCTTAGGGAAGCAACAGTGGAGAACTCACGTCTTGACCCACAAGCCAGAGAGAGAGTATTAGGAAAGGTGTGAGTCTTTTGAAACCTCAGTCACCCTGCTGCCCCAGTGAGACACCTCCTCCAAACCTTTCCCAAAGGGTTCCACCAACCAGGGACCAAGCATTCAGATATGTGAGTCTATGGAGGCCCTTCCCCTTTAAACCACTGCAGGGACTGTGAGGGGAAGAGGTTTAAAGGGAATGGAGAGATGGGGGGATCAAATATGCACTTTTCCGGGGCTGCAGAGATGACTCACTTGTTTAAAGCACTTGTTGCTCTCTTGCAGAGGACCTGGGTTCAATTCCCAGTACCAACATGGCAGCTCACAACCACCTGTAACTCCAGTTTCATGGGTTTAGACACCCTCTTCTGCTCTCTGTGGGGACCAGACACATTCATCACACGCATGCACACATGCAGATGAAATGCTCATACACAAAAAATAAATAAGTCCAATTTTTTGGTTTTTTTTTTTTTTTTTTTTTTTTTTTTTTTGGTTTTTCGAGACAGGGTTTGGAAGACTGTCCTGGAACTAGCTCTTGTCGACCAGGCTGGTCTCAAACTCACAGAGATCCACCTACCTCTGCCTCCCGAGTGCTGGTATTAAAGGCATGCGCCACCAACGCCCAGTTGGTTTTGGTTTTTTGAGACAGAATTTCTCTGTGTAACAGCCTGGCTGTCTTGGAACTTGCTTTGTATACCAGGCTGGCCCCGAACTCACAGAGACCTGCCTGATTCTGCCTCCCAAGAGCTGGGATCAAAGGCATGTACCATCTTGCCTGGCAAGTCTAAATTTTTTTCTTTTTATTTATTTATTTATTATTTACTATGCATACAACATTCTGCTTCCATGTATATCTGCACACCAGAAGAGGGCACCAGATCTCATAACAGATGGTTGTGAGCCACCATGTGGTTGCTGGGAATTGAACTCAGGACCTTTGGAAGAGCAGTCAGTGCTCTTAACCTCTGAGCCATCTCTCCAGCCCCTAAATTTTTTTAAAATACTTATTTTTGTGTGTTTTGTTGTCATCATTTTTAAGAGAGGGTTTGACTAAGTAGCTCTGCTGGGCAGGAACTCACCATTAGATCAGGCTGGCCTTAAACTTGCAGCCTTCCTCCTTCCTCTGCCTCTTGAGTGCTAGAATAACAGGCATTTACTGTTGTAATTGAAGAAAAGCAGCTTGAGAGAGAAAGATGTCATGAGATAGGGTTCAAGCAGAGGGTTTTTTTGGGGGTGGGAAGGGACCATAAAGAGGGGAGAGGGGAGATTGGCCTCCAGAGATGGGAACAGCAGGAGAGAGGAAAGGGGGAAGAGAGAGAAAAAAGAGAGGAGGGAACAGGCAGACAGAGAGGGAGAGGAAGAGAGAGAGGGATGGGAGGTGGGCGGGCCCTTTTCAAAGGAATGTGCACAGGTGGTGATCTTAGTGGCTGCAGCGGAGGGCGTATCCTGTCAGAACCCCAAGGACAGGCCAGTACAGAGGCCTGAATAGTAACATGTACCACCATGCCCAGCCTAAAATATCTTGTGTTCTTTCATTTAAGAATCTAGGTTGGCCAGTGGTGGCACACACCTTTAATCCTAGCACTTGAGAGGCAGAGGCAGGAGGATCTCTGTGAGGTCAAGGCCAGACTGGTCTACAGAGAGCTAGTTCCAGGACAGCTAGGGCTGTTACACAGAGAAACCCTGTCTGGGAAAAAAGAAAAGAAAAGAGAAGGAAGGAAGGAAAGAAGGAAGGAAGGAAGGAAGAAAAGAAGGAAGGAAGGAAGGAAGGAAGGAAGGAAAAGAGCAACCCTGTGCAGGAATGTAGCTCAATTGATGAGAGCTTGCCAAGCATGCATGAGGCCCTGGATTTTATCTTTAGCACAGCATAAACTGGGTATGTGGTGTACACCTGTCATCCCAATACTCTACTAAGAAAGTAGAGCAGGCAGATCAGGCGTTCAAAGTCATCCTAGGCTGTGTCGAGGTCAGTTGGAGCTTTATGAGATACTGATCCAAAAGAAAAAAAAGGAAAGAAGGGAGGGAGGGAAGGAGGGAAGAAGAGAAAAAAGGAGGGAGGAAAGAAAGCAAGCTAGGAGATGGGTTAGTGGTTAAGAACATTTTTTGCTTTTGCACAGATGGAGGTTCCAATCTGAGCATCCACATCGGGTAACTCACACCCTCCTTTAACTCCAGCTCCAGAGCACCGTACTCTGGCCTTTTCAGACACCTGTACATATATGTACATACATACATGTCCACTCACACACATACATAAATAAAATAGTGTCTAAAATTGAAAGAGGAGAAGGGCAGTTCTGGAAAGAATGGAAAACATAAAACTTGGTCCCCAGTCTGAAGTGGCTTTGAGGCTACCTGGTTCCCCTCTGCACCTTTGCAAGAATGATCCATACCAACAGAGCTTTCAGGTGTCCAAAGGACCACCCCTCTCTAAGCTGCCTGTTAATTCCAGAGATGAGTCCAGCTAGCAGCAGCCATGGCGCAGCACCTGGAGGTCCTGAGACAACAATCTTTAAAGAAAGAGATCATAAAAGGTAGCTTTGGTGAGCTGAGCGGTGGTGGTGCACACCTTTAATCCCAGCGCTCGGGAGGCAGAGGCAGGCAGATTTCTGCGGGTTTGAGGCTAGCCTGGTCTACAAAGCTACACAAAGAAACCCTGTCTTGAAAAATGAGACAGAGAGAGAGAGAGAGAGAGAGAGAGAGAGAGAGAGAGAGAGAGAAAGAGAGAGAGTGGATAGGAGTCAGTAAACTGTGACAACAGACACAGCTGAGTTCAAGGGTCAATATCTGGGAGTAATTGGGAAAGTTTTGTGCTGACAACTGTGTGCCTGGAGCTGAACACCATAGCCAAACCAGCTCGCTGGCCCAATATACAGCAACAGCTGAGCTATGATAGCAGGCAGGGTCAGTGGGGGCTAAAGCTGAGCCGTGGGGGCTAAAGCTGAGCCTTGCGGCTTCCCAGTAATGACCTTAGTCAAGTCACTGAGGAAGGGAAAGAAGGAAACCAGCTTATGTGGAGGAAGTTCAGTTTCTTTCCACAGATGAGGTTAAGTTCTCACAGCAGATTAGGAAGAGAGCAAGGACCTAATACTGCGTGTGAAGTCCTGCTGACAAATGTGACCTTCAAGGCTGTATAGCTGGGGAGTGAGTGGGAAAGTAGAATTAGGACCAGAATTTCTCAGCTCAAGTCCTGGGGTCTTGACTTGAGCTTTAGCTGCCTCCTCTCCTGTAAAACTGGTGGCGATGATAATATCCATACCTTGGAGCTGAGGTTTCCACCCACAACAGCAGTAGCCACGACTCACCTCAAACTTTAAGAGGCACATTGGAAGTTCTAATCCCTCCCTTCTTTGTAGCATCCTGGGTGGCCATTTTCCTGGAAATGTAGTCATGTTCCTTTTTGCACTGCCATGTCAGGTTTGTGGATGAAGGACCCAGAATTTGCCTTGAAGGGAGATTATTTAGACTTTACTTCCTCCCTACCCCGCTTCCCTGACCTTCTCCATTACTCAGTAGAGCCAGGCCCCTCTTCTCTTCCCCGGGACTTGGCAAACGGGGTGTCATCAGTGGGTGTTCCCTGGGAAAAGAAACTCGTAGCGGGCTGGCGCAGCTCCTGGCTCCGCTTTCCTTAAACCCCCTGCCTCAGACACCAATGCGTCGGGAGACCTTTGGAGCTCCCAGCCGCTTCCCTCCTCCCCAGATCTGGAGCAGCAGCTGGTCCCCACCCTTTGGTGTGAGAAGCAGGGGGGACACTTGAATCCCTCATCTGATGCAGGGAGACCGGAGTTAGTATGGGGCGGGAAGTGGATCCCGGTTCTGGGGTTATAGGGGGAGCTGTCCAGCCCCGCAGACCCAGCTGGAAGGGAGAGTGGGCCAAGGCGCGCCAGGCGGAGCGAGGCGCGGGCGCCAGGCGCGGGTGCGGCAGGGGCCCCCCCTGCAGCCCGCCCCCCACGTGGCCGCC